ATGTTATGTAACATTAATGTGTTTCAGAAGCATAAAGTTGGATTTTTGTAATGCGTATAAAATGTAGGATTATATTTCCCCAGCGACAGGGGAAGGAGGTTACATTGGGTGTAACATGAAACTTACGTTTTATTGTAATGCTGACGCCGAATTTGAAGGATCGTTATTTTAATAATATTTATTACATCTGTAACTGCAGTTTTATCGCATAAGGTTAATATTGACATTTATACTGACATTTCGAAAAACAAGCTATACTTCATACTGTACATGTAGGCCTGCGTGATATTATTTAGCATTTTATTTTTTATTTTGTTCATCAGTTGTGTTAATCTTTTATTACATGTAGCATTGGTGGGAAGTACACAGAGGTTCCTTAATATCAAGTATAATTGTAGATGTACAATGACAATAAAGAGATTCTATTTGACAATTTTCAAATAATTAAAAGACAACAAATAAGTTGTTTCTGTATTTTTGCGTTAAGCTATGTGATTAAAACTTGATACATGCAACTCAGAAATGTACTTCCCATATTCTGTCTCTTTTCTTTTTTCCAAATTCCATCCTGCATAATTGTTTTCATTTCTTACTCTAACTGCATATTATATATCCAGATCTCAATCGTGGTTTCTTGCGGGATTTTTAAATACTTTGCATATAAATATTTTTTGGACAAGTCCATGCAGCTCATATGAAATCATCTATGCACACAAATAGACTTGCTAGAACGAGGACACGGTGAGGAGCTGTAACGTTGCATCTCCAGGGTTGTGAGCTGGATTTCCACCACCAACTAAGCGTCAGTCCTGCATGCTCTGCCATGTGCCCTTTCTACTCTTGGACAGGCTGCAGGTTCACTGCACCTAGTGCTGGGCCAACAGCTATGGAACACCAATGAATGAAGATGGGAATCTGTGGAATTGCAACCAAATTGAAAAATTAGTCAGATACATCTAATCATATACTTTATTTGGGCAGTGGTGGCTTAATGGTTAGGGAAGCACACTTGTAATTGAAAGGTTGCAGGTTTGAATGTCCAACCAGCAAGGCACCACTGAGGTACCCTCAGCAAGGTGCTCCCCCCGGGCACTGAATTAGCTGCCCCCTGCTATGTCACATATGGGTTAAATGCAGAGGACACATTTTGTTGTTGTGCACTGTGCTGTGGTGTGTCAACAATGACAATTGATCACTAAATTTTATTTTGATGGGTTTCTAAATAAAATGGTCTGGGAAGAGTGGCCCCAGCTGATGTAATATTGTTGACTTGCTAAATGTTAGGGGAACAAATATTTCTCTCTCAATTTCTCTCTCCAAGCCAGTATCTCCGGGTTTTGTCTGCCTTCCTGTTCAGTTCTCAAGTTGCTAGCTCTCCAGCTGCTAGCTCACCAGCTCCCCGGCCCTCCGGTTGCAAACACTCCGGCTGCGCGGCTGCTAGCTCACCAGCTCCCCGGCCCTCCGGTTGTAAACACTCCGGCTGCGTGGCTGCTAGCTCACCAGCTCTCTGGCTGTTGCTATCCGGCTCTCCAGCTGCAAACGCTCCGGCTATCCGGTTGCTAGGTCACTAGCTCCCCGGCCGCTAACACTCCAGCCCCCTGGTTCCCAACACTACACAGGTGGCATGGATGCTTACGGGACCGAAGTATACCGCATTCCTGGTCCTCAACACGCAGGCTCCAGGCGGACGTTCATATACAAAGTTTCATTGCATAATTCGATCCCATCATTTTGGTCTTATAGCCCTAGGACTTCTGCATCACGACACCATAACAAACAACATGTGAACCCATCCAATCTCCGTCATCTCCCTCGAACCCCGCAACCAATCACATTGCAACAGCATCTGAAGCTGGCTCTGCTGAATTCCCGCTCTCTTAATAACAAAAGCGTCATTCTAAATGAATTCATCACTGACACCAACTTGGACTTCCTCTGCCTCACTGAGACCTGGCACAAACCCTTGGATTATCTTGAGCTTAACCAAAGCACGCCTGCTGGCTTCACCTACATCGACAAACCCCGCCTTGAATTGCGTGGAGGTGGTGTAGCAGCCGTATACAGAAAGAACATAAAAACAGCACCCATTTCCTTCCCTACTGCAAATTCATTTGAACACCTTGCCTTCAAATGGTCCAGTCCAACCCCTTTGACTATTGCACTTACTGTATTTATCGCCCGCCCAAAATCAATCCCTCATTCTTCACTGACTTCTCCGCTTTTCTAACCCAGCTTTGTGCCTTGTCACCATCCATTCTCCTCCTTGGTGATTTCAACTTTCATGTTGATGATACAAACTGCAAATCTGCCATGGAATTCCTGGAATTACCTCAATGCTTCAACTTCATTCAGCATGTAAATTTCCCCACTCACAGTCATCACCATATACTGGACCTGGTCTGCACCACTGGACTCACTCTTCACCAACTCTCAAGCATCAATCTTCATATTTCAAATCACCTGGCAGTCATCATGGACATTACTATCCCCTCTCCGCCCTCAAAACCAAGTCGCTCCATAACTTTCAGAAATCTCAAATCAATGTCATCATCTACTGTCTCAAATCTATTAACCAGCACTCTGCAGTCCTCTCCTTCCCCCCCATCTGACAGTCCACATGATCTGGTTAGATACTACAACAACACTCTCCTCCTGCCTTGACCAACTTGCACCTGCCAGAACAAAAAATGTCAGTTTCACCCATTCGGCTCCCTGGTACACTGCTGAACTACACAAAATGAAATCCCATAAACAGTTCATCTCCAAACATACAAGGGCTATCTTCAACAAGGAAGCCCTCACTGCTGCATTATCTAATTACTACTCACAAGGACCACAGCCATCCAGCACAACAGCTGTTCTCCTTGTTACCATCCGGCAGACGATACAGGAGTCTGTCTGCTTGGACCACAAGACTAAAAAATAGTTTTTACCATCAAGCCATTCAACACCTCAACTACAACACTTGAACACACACGTCACACTTCATTGGATGCAATACGCACTGTTCCCATAAAATACAGTCTCAGGTACACCTTGCACTTTATTTTTATCCCTTTGACAATTGCACTGCTGTCACTTTATTTCATGTGTAAGAACGTTGTCTGTCTTCTCTGTAATATATTGCTGAGAGACTTGTTTATTCTCGTCAATCACATTTCATTGCAATGTTGACCCTGTGCTAACTTGCATATGACAAATAAACAAAACTGAAACCGAACTTATACATTCTGGATCCAACAACCCCAAGGCGCTCTTTTCCACCGTAAACAAACTATTCAAACCAAATACTAGCACGTCCAACTTATTCTCCACTGACAAATGCTCGGACTTTGACATTTTTCCAACAAAAAATAGAAACCATCTACGTCAGCCTGGCCTCACCGTTAGTGCCCCACACCTCCTCTTCCACTCTTTCCCTACCTCCTCTCACTTCTCAGCCGTTGTCCCAGTTCTCACCTGTCTCCCTTACAGAACTCACTGAAATTATCTCCAGCGCCAAAACCACTACTTGCATCCTTGACCCTGTCCCGTCCAACCTTATCAAAGACTACCTTCTAGCTATTGCTCCAACGATCAACAGAGTTGGGTAATTTAGGCCCAGATATTAAAAGTCCAGACCAGGATTTTGTTTCAACCAACCAGTTGAGCATAAAAAGTCAGTGTATTCAGTTGGAGTATTCGATCTGAATTACCCAACTCTGTCCATCAAATAACGCACCTCTAACTTTGTACAGTACTAAAGCAATTAGTAAAATAAGTTTCAAATTTACCATTATTTTTTGTATCATTCCAGATTTCTTAATAAAAATTGCATTTTGTGCGAATGATATTTTTATGATGGGCTGGGGTGGGAAATAATTTTTTTGTTGACAGGAGGGGCGGATGCTGAACCCCCCCCCCCCCGGTTGGCCTAGGGTGCCATACAAACTAGAACCACCACTGACTACTATTTACTACCACTACTACTACTACTAGTAATATTAATAATAATAACCAGAAAAGTTACAGTGACTAACCACAGATCATTATATTCCCCAATGTCATATTTATTGCGTCCTCTGTTTTGAAAAGAATTCTATCAGTTAATAGCAATGGCGTAGTAGAGAGTCTGAGATTGGGTGCAACACAACTTCATAATATAAATACAAAAGTCTGTTTATCTGGGGGCAATAATGTAACGGAAGTAACGTCGAACGTGTCTCCTACTGGTTCGCGAACGTTACCGTTACTTAGTTTTTAGTTTAAACACGGCCTGACAATAGGAACTATATCAACCATAAAACAAGGGATGCGCCGCGATTATTGAAGGCAACATTATTGTATAATATACTTAAACACAATCGCAGCTTTTTCGGTTACTATACTACGAGAAGGTAAAGATTGGACCATAATTTTTAAACAAGTGAAGCAATTATGTGGTGAAAATGCATTTACCATTACATGATATCATAGATTTAGTCATTCGTATCTTCGTGCTACAGTTGTCTTTCTCGTTTCAAAATAACATTTTGAAAGTATTATTCGGATTAGGGGCTGCATATTTAGATATTTGACTAGGCACAAGATAATGTAGCTTGTTTTGTAGTACTGCGTCACATTCAACCCACCAATCATGAAAGGCCCTCCATGTTATTAGGAACCCACTGTGAAAGTTTACAAGCCTTGCGATTGGATTTTTACACCGACAGTAAACCTGAACTCCTGTCTTTCACTGCTTTTAGAGATCATCCAGTAATTTCTTCGCAAACGCCTTTAGAATTGGAAATTCAATATTTCATAGGTTGCAATTCTTTCAAGTGGTATTTATGAAGATACTCATCATCCCTACTGGTCAATTTAAATTTCAATCACACACGTCACCACTGCTCACTGGTTGAAATCAATGTCGCTCAATAAATGATATGGCTCTGGATTGGTCAGCGGGTGCGGGCGGTGTCTCTCATGGGCTTGCTCTTGGAGGTGCATGGAGAGTGAATGTCGTCATGAGCGGTGGGTAGGAATTAAAACCTTAGCGTTTATAATACATTGTCGCCACTTGATAAAGCTGTTTATTTCTTGCGCTGCGTAAGACCTTTAATGTGGGCTGTCTAAAACTGTCTGTTTGGAAAGGGTGCCTGTTCAACGAGACTGCTGTTTACTCACAGAATGGATTCTCGTTCATTATCAGAGAGTTTAAAGTAGCTCGTTAGCGACACGGAGCCGTATGTGTGGAGCGGCGCCCGCCTCGCTTCTGGAATTAAAATCCTATTGCGTCTTCGCCCTTCACGTTTTAGCCAGAGGCTTGGTGGCTTGGCTTCTTCCTTGAAATTTCCAGAGTGTGCCGACTAGCTAGCTGCTGCCCCGGCGCCGAGGCTCCCCCAGCGTCGTTTCCTACTTAGCTAGCCAGCTAGCGGCGGCTCGATGGCGGCGCTGTTCCAGGCCGCGCTCCGGCCACTCTGCTCTGTTTCTCTGTACATAAGGCGCAGTTTTGGGATAAAGTAAGACTGCTGTCGCCCCTCCAGGATGGTAAGCTCTACAGTGTTGTGCTTTAGATAAGTGGGCTGCACGTAACTGGGAAAGTTTAGTTCGCTATGCAAAGTGCGGACGGCAGCATCGTATCTCCGCCTGGCGTCTTCGGCGTTTGCTTTCGCTTTTCGTGTTTCCTTCAGATTCATATACTGCCTGATATTATACTTACGTCCGCTTATTTGCCTCCGCAGACACTTAATATTGAAAAAACGTTGGCCGAAACTGACTGAACTGTATTTACCGGGCCAAGTACTGCAGTTTAACGATAGAAGCTGGTTGTTTTGCTGACAAGTTGAGGTCAGTTTATGAGGAGCAAATGCAGAATTCGGTACGATCGGTCTAAGTTACTGCGAATGTCATGTGATGAGGATATGAGGCTCTTTCATATTATACTATGCTTTAGCGTACTATACTATAGCCGCATGATAATGTACTGCGGTCATGTTATAAATACTACATGCTACATTCTTTTTCGTTGTAATATTTAAGTTTATATGCTTTTGCTATATTTGGAAAAACTAATCAAAGGAACAGAGAGTAAACCGAAAGTCATACTTGGAGTAAAGCATAATAATAAATTATCCCCACGTCTGGAAGGCTGCACAATTTTACTAATGCGTTTTGGTGTAAGAATGTCATAAGCATGAGCAGTTTGTCCATTAAATATTTGATGCATCCAAAGACTTAATAAGCTCACCATTTTCCCTGTTGAGTATTTTTATTAGACATTTTATATAGTCGATTCCACATCTACAGTATTAGGACCATCGTCACATTGTGCAGGTAACTCGAGTGTGCGCGCTTGAAATTTATGTACTGTACTTGCCAAAATTATGTATTGTATAGCATAACCGTAGTACATGTGTTCAAATTACAGTTGTATTACTGCATGGTGTACTGTGAGACAGTCAGTATTCAATGGGGAAAAAATATTTTCAGATGCTCTGCAAAATTACAAAGATCCTGCAAAATAATCGTTCAGCCTTCCAATGCAACTATAACGATGATTCGTTGTCTTGCTAACTGGCATGACTTAAGTATTAAGTATAAACTGCCGATTAAATTTCAGACAAAAGCAAATGTACAGCAAGCTTGTAATAGCCAATAATGTAAGAACTAGCAGTAATGTAATTACTCGCCTATAACGTAATAGATTTATCTGTTTTTATTGTAATGTCGATAATGTAAAAATGGCTAATAAGTTATTACAAGTCGGTAAAAAAAATCACATTATCGGTTCAGAAAATATTACATTATTGGCCGGTTATTACATTATTGGCATACTGCATTAAGAATGGAAAATTATTGGCATTTGTTACATTATTGGCAGATGTCACATTATTGGCTTCCACAAAGCCTTTTGAATTGAAGGCAAATATAATTTAGTAGGGGTGTAAGGATGCACAATATTCATGGTTCAGTACAAACCTTGGTTTTGTGTTCACGGTTTGGTGCAGTTTCAGTATTGCAGGGTAGAAGAGCAATTCTGAAGTTATTAAAATTGCAAACCAAAACTCAGTTGGAAAAACTGTAAGCCAAATGAAACATCCTTTATCCTTTAAATTCCTTTATATCATGTGTTCTCTACCACCAAGTATAGTTGCATATCTGTAGCGAAAAGCACCTTAATAGCCATAGTTGTTTTTTGTGCCCGGTCTGAATTTCTGAGCAGAAGCACCTTAAATGCCACTAGAAACCAAACTTGCATAGGCTGTTTGTCCCTTGCTCTGGTTTTACATACACCTGGATGATGTCTCAAATAAGTTAGCATGTCGGATGTGTTTCCAGCAAATGTCTGAGTTTGGTATAACAAAACCAACAGACTGTCCAAACTACTGATTATGACTGACTGTAAAGGCTAGATCATACTGCACTTTTTTGCTGTTATGTTTTTTGACTGTGGATGGTTGTGTACAAAAGCTTGTGTTCATAGTACGTTTGTTGGTGGATGTTGATGATCCTGGGTGGTGCATACAGCAGTGATATTCCACCAGACCAGGAGAGGGCAGATTACTGCAACAAACACAAATGTACACAATGTAATGAAATGTATAAACTTTTTATGAACAGTTTGAGATTTGTTAGTCTGCGCTTGGGTCGCATATGGCATACTGTGGCATTCTCAAATCAGGGCCGGGACCCCCCCCCCAGGAAATTTTATCCCCACACTTTCAAAATTCTGTATGTGTTGCTTTTTTAAAATAACATTAACCATGGTATGATGTCTGTACGGCACAACTTTTATGGACAGTGAAAACTACGTATTCAACTCTAACAATTATTCTTTGCCTTCTTGGTTGACCTTTGCTTTGTGAATGTCACTGCTGCCACCTATAGCCAAAATCTAGTCAGTTTCCTTGCTTATGTGCAGTCAACATGTACGGAAATGCTTGATCACTGCCAGGAAAAAAAATTGGGGCTACATGCCCACCCCCCAAAGCAATCCAGCTCAAACCCCTGATGACAAAATTTGCGTCACCTCGTCCTCTGCACAACCGAAAGCACACAGGAAAATGAAGTATGAATTGGCCTTAACCAGCATTAACTCTAACCAAGTCACAGCTATAGTTAGCATAATGTTTTCCATGTTGCTTGTGAATTTAGGTTTTGCCTGTGTCAAGCAGTATTTTCATTAATTTCATTGTACATACCAAACTGAAAAATATAGGATGGAGTGGTATACGACCAATGCGTATACCTTTACAGCCCTACTATTTAGCTGGTTGGCTATTTTTGTTAGCCATTTTGTCATTTTTTTATGAGGTAGGCATGCAAATCAGAATACAGCAGCTTTTGAGGTCAGCCCGCAAATCAAAATACATTTCATCAAAACAAAAGCCAGGCCGGTTATATGGAATGTTTTTTCAATTGTAATTTTGAGATCCCGACCCTATGACATGTTGCGTTTATGTAGATCATGTAGATAAGTGTGATTAACTAGAACGTATTGGCATAGAAAACATTGATTCGAAATGGGACCAGCTTCACACTGCAGTAAAAGTGTGTGCCACCATTCAATGTGCAGTTATCCAAAATTAGGGATGTTAACCGATGACCGTTTGACCGGTGGTTGACCGTATCAACGTTAACCGGTCAAAGTTGTCGGTAGTCGGT